TCACTTGTTGTTGTTGTTGTGGGTGTCTTCTCGCAAGATGAAAGCCACTTGCCATTCATGGCCGGCCAAGCGGCTGCCTTTTGCCTGCTGCCAAGGGTGGCTTCAGCTTTGACTCCGGCTCCAACTCCGACTCCGACTCTGACTCCGGCTGCTGCTTCCGCCGCCGCTTCCTGGGCAGCAGCTCCTTTTGACTGCGGCCCGGCCAAACGACCTTGAGCCTTACAGTTGCACGTTTGTCATGACTCGTTGCCCAGTTACTGTGGCTCGTCTCTGTGGCTCTATCTTTGCCAGCAGCCCAGCCCAGCCCAGACCAGTTAAATGCCCGCCTTCCTTCCGAGTTGGCTAAGCGCCCGCTTTGCTCTGGCTTTCGCTCTTGCCACTTGCCACTTGCCACTTGCCGCTTGCCTCTTGGCTTTGGCCACTCCCTAGTTAGCTGCAGCAGCTTTGGACTCCAGTTTTGCATCCGTGTAAACTGATGTGTTAAGCTGTTAAGTGCCAAAGTAATTGTTTTCTTTCAGCAGCAACAACAACAACAACTTTGACATCCCTTTCACTTGCCACTTGCCACTTGCCACTTGACCTTGAGCGGGCATTGGGCGGCGCCTGTTGCAAGCTGTTCAACTGCCTGTTGATCTGCTGCCTCTTGTTTTTTGTTTAGTGGAACTTTAACTTCTGCTGGTGCATGTTGTCCCAGTTGAAGAGCTGCTCGGGTTTCCCCACAATCCTAATTAGGCTAGCAGCTAACATGCCTCGGCCACTGACTAAGCAGAGGGCGTAATCTATTCGCTGGCTAAGGATTCCTGGAAGAGCTCATTAAAAGCATGGTTGAGTAGACGCATTCCAGGAAATATTTTCAAGGATATGGCAGAATCACGCTGAACGCAATGTTCTGAAACGCAGTTCAAGTACGTGCTTTCTGAAGTATGAAAATAATCAGCATCGAATTGAATCTCCCTGCTTTAATTGGCTTCATCTTGGGCTGACATCGCACCAAATGGCTTCTTATTATTCTTCCTGCTGCTGCACTCCTCACACTCCTCACACTTCTATTTAATTCGACACGTGCAAAATAACAGCTGTTTTCTTATTGTTTTGTGATAAACGATAACCTTTTGAAAAAGTACGAATTTTTTGCGTAAAAAGCTATCTGTTTGCTTTTAATTTTCACATGATAATTTCCTGAGGCTCAGGAAGATTTCATAATTGTTGCAAGTTTTAAATTTCTCTCTTTTGCTCTCTCTATATATCATTCTCTCTCCATGATCAAAAAACCAAGCCTCATGAAAATCGGTTGAGTTTTGGCCGAATTATAGGGGTGGGAAATTTTGACCATGTCCATATACGAATTCTAGGGCTAAAATTTTGACATGAATTTCGAGTCAAAAATGTGTGGTCAGATTTAAATGCCAGATTATTTTAGAGGGAAAACCATGAACAAAAAACCAATCCGGGTGAAAATCGGTTCAGTTTTGGCGGAGTTATGGGGGTGGGAAATTTTGACCATGTCTATATACGAATCCTAGGGCGAAGATTTTGACATGAATTTCGACTCAAAAATGTGTGGTCAGACTTAAATGCCAGATTATTTTAGAGGGAAAACCATGAACAAAAAGCCAATTCTGGTGAAAATCGGTTGAGTTTTGTCCGAGTTATGGGGTGGGAAATTTTGACCATGTCTATATACGAATCCTAGGGCTAAGGTTGTGACATGAATTTCGAGTCAAAAATGTGTGGTCAGATTTAAATGCCAGATTATTTTAGAGGGAAAACCATGAACAAAAAGCCAAACCTCATGAATATCGGTTGAATTTTGGCCGAGTTATGGGGGTGGGCAATTTTGACCTATGACTATATACGAATCCTAGGTGTAAGATTTGACATGAATTTCGACTCAAAAATGTGTGGTCAGATTTAAATGCCAGAATATTTTAGAGGGAAAACCATGAACAAAAAACCAAACCTCATGAAAATCGGTTGAATTTTGGCCGAGTTATGGGGGTGGGAAATTTTGACCATGTCCATATACGAATCCTAGGGGTAAGATTTTGACATGAATTTCGAGTCAAATATGTGTGGTCAGATTTAATTGCCAGATTATTTAAGAGGGAAAACCATGAACAAAAAACCAAACCTCATAAAAATCGGTTGAATTTTGGCCGAGTTATGGGGGTGGGAAATTTTGACCATGTCCATATACGAATCCTAGGGCGAAGATTTTGACATGAATTTCGAGTCAAAAATGTGTGGTCAGATTTAATTGCCAGATTATTTTAGTGGGAAAACCGTGATCAAAAAACCAAGCATCATGAAAATCGGTTCAGTTTTGGCGGAGTTATGGGGGTGGGAAATTTTGACCATGTCTATATACGAATCCTAGGGCGAAGATTTTGACATGAATTTCGAGTCAAAAATGTGTGGTCAGATTTAAATGCCAGATTATTTTAGAGGGAAACCCATGGAAAAAAAACCAAGCCTCATGAAAATCGGTTGAATTTTGGCCGAGTTATGGGGGTGGGAAATTTTGACCATGTCTATATACGAATCCTAGGGCGAAGATTTTGACATGAATTTCGACTCAAAAATGAGTGGTCAGATTTAAATGTCAGATTATTTTAGAGGGAAAACCATGAACAAAAAGCCAATTCTGGTGAAAATCGGTTGAATTTTGGCCGAGTTATGGGGGTGGGAAATTTTGACCATGTCCATATACGAATCCTAGGGATAAGATTTTGACATGAATTTCGACTCAGAAATGTGTGGTCAGATTTAAATGCCAGATTATTTTAGAGGGAAAACCATAAACAAAAAGCCAAACCTCATGAAAATCGGTTGAATTTTGGCCGAGTTATGGGGGTGGGAAATTTTGACCATGTCCATATACGAATTCTAGGGCTAAGATTTTGACATGAATTTCGAGTCAAAAATGTGTGGTCAGATTTAACTGCCAGATTATTTTAGAGGGAAAACCATGAACAAAAAACCAATCCAGGTGAAAATCGGTTCAGTTTTGGCGGAGTTATGGGGGTGGGAAATTTTGACCATGTCTATATATGAATCCTAGGGCGAAGATTTTGACATGAATTTCGATTCAAAAATGAGTGGTCAGATTTAAATGCCAGATTATTTTAGAGGGAAAACCATGAACAAAAAGCCAATTCTGGTGAAAACCGGTTTAGTTTTGGCGGAGTTATGGGGGTGGGAAATTTTGGCCATGTCTATATACGAATCCTAGGGGTAAGATTTTGACATGAATTTCGAGTCAAAAATGTGTGGTCAGATTTAATTGCCAGATTATTTAAGAGGGAAAACCATGAACAAAAAACCAAGCCTCATGAAAATCGGTTGAATTTTGGCCGAGCTATGGGGGTGGGAAATTTTGACCATGTCTATATACGGCGAAGATTTTGACATGAATTTCGACTCAAAAATGAGTGGTCAGATTTAAATGCCAGTTTATTTTAGAGGGAAAACCATGAACAAAAAGCCAATTCTGGTGAAAATCGGTTCAGTTTTGGCGGAGTTATGGGGGTGGGAAATTTTGACCATGTCTATATACGAATCCTACGGGTAAGATTTTGACATGAATTTCGACTCAAAAATGTGTGGTCAGATTTAAATGCCAGATTATTTTAGAGGGAAAACCATGAACAAAAAGCCAATTCTGGTGAAAATCGGTTCAGTTTTGGCGGAGTTATGGGGGTGGGAAATTTTGACCATGTCTATATACGAATCCTAGGGGTAAGATTTTGACATGAATTTCGACTCAAAATTGTGTGGTCAGATTTAAATGCCAGATTATTTTAGAGGGAAAACCATGAACAAAAAGCCAATTCTGGTGAAAATCGGTTCAGTTTTGGCGGAGTTATGGGGGTGGGAAATTTTGACCATGTCCATATACGAATCCTAGGGGTAAGATTCTCTCTCTCTCTCGTTCTCACTGTTTCTCTCTCTGTCTCTCGCTCTCTCTCTTTCTCTCTTTCTCACTTTATTACTTCTCTCTCTCTCTCTCACTCTCTCTCTCTCTGTCTCACTCTCTCCCTTGTTATCCTCTCCATTGCTATCTGTCTTCTGTCTCTATCTTTCTCTCTGTTATTCTCTCTTGCTCACTCTCTCTCCCTCTCTCTGTATTCTTTCCCTTACTCTCTCTCTCTCTCGCTCTCTCTCTCTGTCTCTTCTTTTCTCTCTCTCTCTCTCTCTCTCTCTGTCTCTTCTTTTCTCTCTCTTCCTCTGAAAATCTGCCTTATCTTACTTAACAGAACATTCAATCCGACTATTTCTTTTACCTTCGAAAAAGTTGGCGAACTTTCCAACCCGAGAAAACAGTAAAAACACTTTTGGTTATATTTTTATACATTTACTTCTTCACTTTTATTCTGTTTCAGTTGTATATAATTTAGGTTTAACTAAAATAATAATATTAATAATAATAATAATAGTAATAATAGTATAATAGTATTTAATGCATTATCTTCAATGTTATCATGGATAATTCACTCATTAAGAACATCATACAATACATATGCATTTAAATAGCTGTGTGTGTGTGTGTGTGTGTGTGTCCGCTCACTGGGATTTGGTGTGCCTGTGTGTGTGTGTGTATTTGTGTGTGTGTATTTGTATTACATAAAATTAGCACACATACCATACGCATACTCATATCTATATTAATATATATATATATTTTATATATATATTTTTGCTTCGCTTTATTTACTTTAATTAATTTGGGGGTTATTACAATATAGAGAAAAGTTGTGCGCGCCTAAGACTAAGTCGATATACGTGTACGTACATATATGTATATCCTATAGCTATGGAAATTTGTACATTATTTACATTTACATTTGGAAATACAATTGCTGTGTTTATTAATTATGTGTTTATGCATATATGTATATTTATTTATATTATGTACTATGATCTAATTACTTGAAAGACAACATTGCGTATGCGCTATATATGAATATTTATGAGTGCGTGTGCGTGTGAGTGTATGTATGTGTGTGCGTGTGTGTTTGTGGGTGTGTGGCTAAACTAAACTCTAAACTACATTTAAGAAATGCACAAGTCTCTAGTTGTAACTGTTAATTATAGCAAGTACATATATATATATGTATATATATATATTAAAAAACGATTTTTTTCTTTCTTTATTTTTTCAATATTGGCAAAGAATAAGGCGCATACAAAATGCATAAATAAATAATTGTTAGGCGAGATCTTATCCTTACAGGAAAGTTCTGAAGTGCATGTGTGTGTATGGGTGTGCGTGTGCGTGTGCGTGTGCGTGTGTGTGGGGCAACGTTAATACTCGTACCGTTTTATAACTAGACTTAAGCTTAAGTTCCAAGCATTTGAAAAAATGATTTAGCAACTCGTTTTAAGCACTTGGCTTCACTTTCCATTAAAGACTAAACGTTGGGCATATATTAAAATAGCAGTCCAAATGTATTATTTACGTTGGCCTCTTCAAAAGCGCCAACCCAGCGGCCCGGCCGCGCCGCTCCCACTCAATCCTCGTGCGGCAGCTCGGCGGCCTGCTGCTGCTCCAGTTTGATTTTCATCAATGGGGATTCGCGCATTGCCGCCGCCGGCGCATAGGCAGCCGCTGCCGCGGCCGCTGCTGCTGCTGCCGCTGCGGAGCCGGCACCGGCAGCGGCGCCGGCATCGGCGAACAGTTCGCTCATGTCCTGGCCGGGAAAGAAGTCCTCGAAGCGCGGACTCTTGTTCACTGACTTCTGCAGCAGCCCGTTGGCAATCGCCTCAAAGTCTATGCCCGCGGGCAGGCTCTCCAGAAAGCGCTTGTTGTACGCATAGCCCGGCTGCTCCTTGGCGTGCTTGGCATAATGGCCGTGCGAGTGGTGCGCGGAGTAGGGCGATGCGGCGCCCGGCCGACTCGACCCAGCCGCCGACTTGTTGCCCGCCGACGAGTTGGAGCCGCGCGACTGATTGCCATATTGGCGGGCGTGCATTGCCTCCTTTAGCTCGCGATCCCGCGACATCTCACGCTCGCGCTCCCGCTCGCGCGACAACTCGCGCGCATAGCTGGCCGCACTGGGATGCATGGCACCGGAGCCGGCACCGCTGCTGCCGCCGCCGCCGTTGCCGCCGGCTGTGCCGCGCTGCGTGCTGGGCAGCACATTCATGCCGGGCAGGCCCATCAGCCCCAAGGCGCTCAGATCGGGCAGATTTTCGGCGCCGCGGCGCTCGCTCTGCTGATGCTTGGCCGCCGCTGCCACCGCCGCCGCCGCCGACACCTGATCCTCGATCTCGGAGCGCTGCAAATAGGCAGGCGATTTGTACATGTTCATCGACTGCACATGCGGCGACTGCTGCTGCTGCTGCTGTTGCTGCTGCTGCTGCTGCTGTTGGTGCTGCTGCTGCTGGGAGAGTATCTGCCTGCGCAGCGTCTCTGTCATTGTGCTCAGCGGATTGCTGCCGTCAGGCGGCGCCATCTTGACCGCAGCACTGTGATACCCATTGGCAGCAGCTGTCGGGTTGCCTGATCCAAAGTGTGCCTGTAGGTAAGTCAAAGCAAGTGCGAGAGGGGCAAAGAAACGGGAAAAGTGTGTTAAGAGTGAGCTGAAGAAGTATTTATATGATGTGGCTAGGTTTCAAAGTTTTTCTTGATGCAACTCAACTTAAATGAGTTTTCCTCTTATAATTTGAACAAATACGCCGGTTCAAACCCTGTTTTCTTTGTATGATAAACTGATTGATTTAAGCTGAAGATATATTTATAATATGAGGCTAAGTTTTAAATTTTTTCTTGATGAAACTTTGCCTAATTGGTCATCCGCCTGCAATTTGAACAATTACGCTGGTTCAAACCCTGTTTTTTTTTGTATGATTAACTGATTGATTCAATCGGAAGGTATATTTATAAGATGTGGCTAGGTTTTAAAGTTGTTCTTGATGAAACGTAGATTAAATGCTTTTTCCCCTTATAATTTGAACAATTACGCCGGTTCAAACCCTGTTAATTTTTTGGATGATAAACTGTTTTTGACTGTTTTGATGAAGATATCTATCTTAACTCCAATTAAGAACTTTAACTAAATGATAAAATCATCATATCAAAATACTCTATTATTTGATTATTATGCGAAATTCTATTTGGGACTTTCTAGTCAGTTTTAAATGTATCATAAAATCAGAATACTCTCTTATATGTTTAAAGATTCCATTCCACCTTAGACCACTTTATGTTGGGACTTCTCCTATTTCTCCTATTTCTAATAAGTTTTATAATTAGTTTGTCTGGTTTACTTACACCATGCGCTTGTCCATTGGCATACTGATGGGCGCTCATGTCCTCCTTGATCTCGCGATAGTCCCGAAAGACGACGGCCTTGATGACGCTGCGTATTAGTTCCTCGGGCCACATGCCCAGCAGAATGCGCTGAGGGCGACCGCGTGCCTTGGGCCGTGGATCGGTGCCGCCGTCCAAAGAGGGGCCCAGCATGTTGTGCACACGATTCGCATAGAGCACGAACGTCGGATAGGGTATATCGTATTTACGAGCGGCCTGCGACAGCGAGAGGCCCTCCTTTAGCACGCTAAATATGGCCTCGGCCATGGCTTCCGGGCGCCACGACTTGAGCGGACCGCGTTCGCGAAAGCGCAGCTGTTGCACCAGATTCTGTTGGTTAGTGTTCCAGCACTTCTGCCACATGGACTGCAACTGATACTGGTAGCTGTCTGCTGGAGGAAGCGGCAAACAGCAGGCACAAATATAGAGAGAGAGGGGGAAAACATATACCAAACTTAGTTGCCCTGTTCCGGACTATGCTAATTGTTTTGGCCACAGGAAGACCGCTTCCCTGCCTCGAGGACTGGCGCAAACTTACCCGCCACAGATGCGCCTGTTGCCGGTGCGCCCATCCAGCCGTGTCCGCTCGTCTCAATCATTTTGGCCTGCAATGGCAACGGAAAGAAGCAGCAGATAAGCAAAAATGTCGTTTCAGTTTTCTACGGCTCTAAAGTTCTCAGTTCGCAGTTCGCAGTTCTCAGTTCTTAGCGACTTGCAAAATTCTGGCCATAAAAGTTTATTAATGCCATAAATGTGGCCCAAAGCGTTTTGGTATGCAAACGCCAATGCGAATTAGTATACAAAGTTGGCAAGCGATTTGTTGCCGCTTTTGTCTTCAGCATTTTTATGGCCGACCACAGCTATTTATTTATTGCTATTATTAGATATGTATGCCCCCGTGCCCCTGACCCTGCCCCTGTCCCTGCCATCAAACAATCGTATCTAAGCTACACTCAGAAGAAAAAGTTCAAGAACTTTTGGCTCAACTTTCTCAATCGGAGGTCTTGTCGAAAATGTCTTTAATTGAGCATGAAATACTTATTTTAAGTACAATATATTTTAATTTAAAAATTCAGACGATCTTAAGAAATATTTTACTTGCACTCAAAACATTTTACACTTATTTCAAGTAAGCAAATGTTGTTCTAAGTATTTTGTACTTAATTCAAGACTCTTTTCTCTTATTTTTATAACATAAATAATTCTAGAGGGTTAAAAATTTGTTGAGAATCAAAACTTGCGAACTTCGAACTCAACCTACTCAATTTTCAACCAAGTTTGAAATTTCTTAAATTCAGCAAGAAATTCTTTATTCAAGTAAGTTTTCCTACATCCAAAAGTTCCCAAGTACAAGACTCAAATATTATATTAAATAATATACCAATATGATATTACAACTTGGCAATGTCTTACTTCAATTAAGAACTTTTGATGCTTGTTTTAAGCAAGAAAATTCTTAATTTAAGCATTCTGTTCATAGTTAAAACTTGTTTTTTTTTTAAGTCAAGGGAAATTCAAATTTTATTTAAAATAAAAATTTTAATTAAATAAAAATTAACCAAATTAAAATGTGCTTCAAACTTTAAGTAAAATTGAAGAGATGAAGAAAATGAGCTAGATTTTTCGCTCAGTGTAACCACAAATATTCGCTAACTGAAGTAAAACTTGAGTCGCAGGCAATTGCGACGGCGCTTAATATTTATTAATGAAAACACAACAGTTACAAAAAAATCAAACCGAGTGTTAAATAAATGAAGGCATAATTTCTGGACTAAAACAAAAAAAAAAACGAAGAGAAAAGTTAAATTGTAGCAGGTCGTGCTACAGGATGCATTGCCTAACGCTGACCGGGCCAACAGCTTGGAACGGCCAACAGCTCGTCAGCGGGCCCCAACTGCACAAAGCCATGCATTTTATATGGCCAGCAGGCAGGCGCTATACAAATTATGTGCAGCGCCAACAAAAACACACACACATATATAGGGTATATATATATGGGGTATATATCTATATATGAGTTGGGGAGTGCAAGTCTTAAATATTTGAAACGGGTTTTGGGCCATGTTTGGATTGGATTTGTTAGAATGTTAGCCCAGCATGTTAAGGAAAAAGGTCATAAAATGTATGAATAATTGAAATTGAAAAGTCGGAAGCATTTTTTTCCATCCACTTCTTCGTCGTTCTGCCTCTTTTTCTACATTTTTTACGCGCCACACTAGACTCGAGGCCCCAAGGCCCCTTGCCACAAAACAAAATGGCGTTAAAAACGCTTTTTTATGTTAAGCATTTTGTTAATGGCAAAGCGTCAGGGCAGCTAGCTCAAGTTGTTGTTATTATTATTATTATTGTTGTAGTTTTTTAATGAGAATCGCCAGAGTCGAGTCGAAGTTTCTGTAGAAGTTATGTAAAACACGTAATTAGGTTTTGACACGGCAGTTAACTAGCCATATTGCATATGCACAAAGGCCTGGCGATCACTGCAAATATAAACAGCAAAAAATTGTACGAATGCTTTCTACATTGTATTCAAGCATCGAGTTGTTTTGCAGTGGCCGCACACAAATGACTCTGTAGGCGGATACGTTTGCTCGGGCAGGTTCTCATTCGTCGAACTGGCAAAACGAGCAAGCTTCTTTGCTGCCTCAACTAATATGACTTGGATGGATTGCCGAATTACTTTCAAACTTTGAATAATTGCAATATATATACTATAGCCTAAACAATTCTGCCTTGAAGATATTTGTATCGTTCTTAACCCTATTAAAATGAACATAAATTGAGCTCCCGATGTCAAAAATTATGCTGTATTACAAATTAGTCTATATATTGCGTCTCTCACTGAAAATTTAACTTTATGGCCTTTTAGCCAGTCGTACCATATCAAAATGTGCAAGTATTTTCCCTGGCTTCAGTTCTCTAATTGTCTTCTTAGCTCTGCACCTTACGACATATGTGCAAAAGTTAATTTATAGCTTAGCTGCTGCTGTGTGAGTTTACGAACAGCGAAGTCGCTGGTTCAAACTTCGGGCTAGTGTATAAAAGTAGCATTCTCTTAGCCAAGGGCCATTGTTTCTAGTCATATTTAAAAAGTTAACTTGTTCTATAACTATTACTATCTATAATTTTGAACATAGATATATTCCATATACCAGCTCGGTGGATTTGAACCTGCAAGCTGCTTGATCAGCTGCTTCTCTCAGAGTGAGAATTCATTTAAGGAGAGAGTAAAGCAAAATGGAACGAAATTGATTTGCTCGCTTTGCGCTGACATTTACTCGCATTTTACCATTAAGTTGTGCTTGTAATTTTCTATTTAAAAAACTTTACCCAGTTTTTACTTGCCATTTACCTTTGAGTTCCGCTTGTAATTTTCTTTTTACCATATAGTACCTAGTTTTCTATTATAGTAAATGACAATTGCAATTATTCACACTAGTTCTTAAGTTCTAGTCATAAGTCAGGCACATGGAATTGCTTGCAGCGCGGTTAACCATTAGTCATCTACATCGTAAATTTGCCAGTCACTTGCCAATGCATTATGGCGACCTCCCACCTCACTCCACCCCTCCCCCCCCCCCTCTCTCTCTCTCTCTCGCTCTCTCTCTCTCTCCCGGTCTGTTTATCATGCTCGCCCTTGCTGCCGAACCACTTGGCCAAGTCACGTCTAACAATTAGAAGACTCGCCTGGCACACACAATACATACAGCATACAATATAATAAAATATAGCTGCTGCTGCTGTGCTCAAAAATGTTTAATTAATTAAATTTTCAATTTCCCGCCAGCAGCAGCAGCAACAGCAACAAATTTGAAGCGTGCGCGCATTCAACTTTCTTTCAACTCATTTAATTTAATTTGCGGCGCTTCGCTGCTGTCGTCGCTGCCGCTGCCGCTGCCGCTGCTGCTGCCGCTGTCGCTGTCGTCGCTGCTGCGGCTCATCGTCTTCTTGTTCTTGCCAATTACTCATCGTGTGCACACGCCCCATTCACATAATAATTTATTTAATTAACTTTATGCGCTGCTAGAAATATTCTATAAAAAAGAAAAATAATTTAATTTTTTTCTTATTGATTTTTGTTTCTTTACTTTCGCATATTTGGTATATATACATATATGTGGATACAGCCCATCAATCCAACTGCCCTTGTCCACCCCCTTCCCCTCCCCTCTCCCCCCCTCACACTCTCACACATGTCTTTCAACAACCTTCAAGTTGCGTCTCATCCCTCCTCCTCCCGCGATACTCGCCATGAAAACCCGCTGGATTCTAATGCAATTTTAATTTTATTTTTCAAGCGAGCACATAAACTGAACGCGCCGCCCCCGCCCCTGCAAATCCATACTCCCCCCCCCCCCCCTCCTCCTTACTCCGCACAGATAGCAATTTCTTGGCGCGCGGGGCATGCAACACTATAAACTGCAGTCGCGACGACCCGCTGCCCCACCCAGCCCCCTTGTTTGTTGCCTTAGAACTTTGGCTGTAGTTTTTCTCTGCCCTACTCCCCACACTCTCTCTCTCTCCCTCTCTCTCTCCCACTCTCTCTCTCTGGCTCTTGCACGTAGTATACTATATTTCTTATATTATATAACACTTTATTTATTATTCATTTTCGATTCGTGCTTTTACTGCAGCAGCGGCAGCGGCAGCGACGCCAACTGCGACGCCAACTTTAACGGCGGCGTCTCAAGTTTGTTATTTCTCTTGTCTGCAACTTGTGCTCACCACAAACCACCCCCTGCACCAACACCACCCCCCGCAACACCACCCCCTGCACCCCTGCCTCTGCCATTTGCTCTTGGCAATTTCTTGAGCTGCTTTTGCTGTGCGCCTGCTGCCTTGCAGCCTTCACTACTACTACTAGCAACTACTTGCCCCTGCTAGGCATGCCCCTGTCAGCACTCCCCCCACCCCCCCCCCCCCTCACCCACTGACAGCCCTTACCCCTGCCGGTGCCGCTGCTTTCGACGCTCATTCATTCATTCATTTATTTATATTACTCAACCAACCGCACGCACACGCCCCGCACATTTGGCCGCCCCCAGCCTAATCCTGCCCCATGTTGTCTGTCTTTCCCCCCCTCCCCACTCTCTCTCTCTCTCTCTCTATCTCTCTCGCTAGTTGGACTGGCTCCTGTGCCTGACAGTCGCCGTCGTCTTTTATCCGCGTCCTGCGCCCGGTTTTATAGTTTTTGCGCTCATGCCATTCATTAATTTTATAAGAAGCAATGCTTGGCATAATAAATAATTAATTTAAATGGCAACTCTGGCTACGAATACGCGACAAAGTCCCAACATCCTGAGGACCTTCGTCTAGCTCTCTAAAGTGCCTCCTCCCAACTTGTCTTACGCCAGGCGCACCAGACGCACCAAACCCGTGACGTGACAGTGGTTAAAAATGTTTGAGGAATCTACAAATACCACAAGGTCTATGGAAATAGACTTGCAACTATTTCGATTTGATGTTGGAGAATTAGTTCAAACACCTTAACTATGCTCGGGTACTAAATAAATATAATAACGAATTCGAAGGCTTTCTTTGAAATTCTCATTTATTGTGAATGTACTCCCATTTGATGTGAAAACATTTATGTGATCTCCTTTTATCA